TGACCATGTAACGTGCACGTAGTTTCATTTCTTTGTCTCTCTCTCTCTCTCTTTTTTTTTTTTTTTTTTTTTTACATTTTTAATTATCGGAAAAGTGAACCTTTCTTGTCTTTTCTTTTTAATTTTCATATTTTTATAAGGACGCACAACACATACTCGCACGTTCTGCCTCATAATCTCGTGTGAAACACGTTATCTCTATTAAAATGTATGATTCGTAACGTTCTTATGGCTTCGATTAAATCATCCATATGTATGTATATTGAGAAATTGTAGGGTCGACGTGATATATCTCCTGATAAGACTATAGGTGATTGTAATAATCGATTCATCGAAATGTGTCCTCGACAAGTGTCGGTAACGAGTGGAATAATTTCAATAACGATGAGTTCGTTCGTTTGATTTATAAATGGCCTTAGATTTGAATTTCTTTTATATGGAATCGTTTTCTTTCTTCTTTCACTTCCCTTTTTTTTTTCTCTCTTTTCTTTTCTTTTCTTTTCTTTTTTTTTCCCCTTTCTTTCAACGAATTTTCCTTGACATCGCGCCTGATAGATCTCACAAAACGATGTGCCATGAGAGTAATAACGTATAACCAGCTCGAATATCATCAACTTTTTCTTCGTATATCACGAAGATCGGTATTTCGATGAGAGTTTTAGTGATCGTTTGAGGGAGCTCGTAACTGACCGCCATGAAAGTAAACGTAGGAAGTCGCCGTGCTATTCGTATGGTTTCTCACCTAAAAATAGGCATTATGCTTGAACACTCGCTCGGTAAATTCAAACTCTCTTTCTCATATATATATATATATATATATATATATATATATATATAAAATAATGTACACGCATGTAAGATTTTCCAAGTGTATCTAACTAATTTTGAAATAATTTTGTGAAAGGTATAAATTATTGGTTCGCGCAATAACACGTTGGCGTAAAGTAAAATAACGTGTAGTTGATAAGTGACTAATTGAAATAAAAAGAGAGCGAGAGAGAGAGAGAGAGAATGTGTGAGAGAGTGAGAGATTGGTTATCCTTTCTTCTCTCTTTTCAAAATTCCCACAAAATCGAGGAAGAAAGACAGGAAATCGCGGTGAAAGTTTTGGCTTTAGTCCAACAGACGTACCACCACAAGTATCGACTTTTTGGATTTCGTACTATGAAATGCTTTAATTCAAATTATATGCAAATTCGACCGCAACCAGGCTCACGCCTTTAATTATAGTTCATCAGTCTAAAACTTTACGATCTCTATCTTTTGTAGAGAAACGTTTAACACGCATATAAATACTTTATTCCCATGGTACTATTGTATGATACTATGGTACAACTTAAGTATACATTTATGTACATATGTTAGATACGATGTGCGAACGAATGTGTTTCTTTCCAAAGGTAATCCCAAAAGAGAGGTAATTTTAAAAGAACGATTATCGTACTCTCGTAAGAACGATATCTCCGCTAAGAAAGTTTGGTGTCTTTTTATTCTTTTTTTCTTTTTTTTTTTTTTGTTTTTGTTTTTATTTTTGTTTGAAACAAATAACTTTTACATTATAATTTTTCATAAATTTTCATAGGAAACTAGGAACTAGATATCTTGCGATGATATTTTTTCTCGAATTTTTGTTTTTCTTTTTTTTTTTCTTTTTTCTTCTAAAAGAAAAGAGTTCGCGAATAAAACCACATTATAATGCTGTTGTATTAAATTCAAAATTACCATTACTACTACTATTATTATTATTATTATTATCTTTTTCTTTTTTTTCTTTTTTTTTTTATTACTGCAACTACTGTGAGAGGTACCAATCGTTCGAGTTACGTGATTTATGATCGGCAATACGAAAGAAATCAATTTGTCTCCGCTTACCGAAATAAAATACACTTTTTATTATCGTACCTCCGGTGCGTTTTCAATCGCAAATATTTACACGATGGAATAATATATCTTGGAGCGAATAACGGGTACAATGCTTGTCTCTCTTTTTGTTTTTTTTCTCTTCACGATATTGTCGATAAAGTGTCAATGAAAACAGCGATGAGGTGTCACGTAGATAAATGTATATTGGCCCTTTATGGAAGTAAAAATAATAATGGTAGATAGTAGGTAATAACAATAATGTTAGTAGTAATAGGTTGATATAGAGAGATAGAAAATGAGAAGATTTCATGTCTCTATCCTTCACATAGGATTTTGATGAAGCCTTCATGCTCTAATGTTTCATCCAACGAAGTATCTTGCTTTTCTTACATATCTTATGGAAGATCAGCCGAGTCGTAGAGCTCATCGACCTCGAACATAATCCAGCTTGCAGCAGTCTCGACTAAACCGCATCGTTGGCCTCTGATGAAGTTGTTACTGAAGTTACCTTCATTGTTAATATCTTGACTTAATCTCTTGTTACGTTTAGACGTACATACATACCTTAGTGTTTATTTTATTTTATTTTATTTTTTTTTTTTTTCTTTTTTTTTTCCCTATGTATTTTTACAATCAT